GCAGGTCATCCTAGGTGAGGAACAGCACTGTTAGGCTCAAAAGTCAAGGGCTGAGGCTGAGGCAGTGCTAGGATTGAGGCCATGGGGCCTCACAGGCTGTGGGGAGGAGGCAGGGCTCTAGCTCTGGGGCTACTGGGACTGTTGGGTAAAGGTGACAATGACATGTTTGACGACTTCACTTTGGTGACGGTGTGGAGAGTGGACTTGGGAGCAGGGAGCCACAATATGGGCAGGAGGCCAGCAAAAGGGCACTGGTGGTGGTGAGACCTGGGCGGCACTAGGAGATGGAGTTGGGGAGTTACCAGAACATCAGGACAGGTAACCCTGGGAAACAGAAGAGGTGATGGGAAGGTCTTGGGTGGGGTGGGGGTGCTGAGGAGCAGGCCCAAGACCCTTAGGGGAGGCTGGAGGCACTGAGACGCTGAGTTGGTTGGCTTCCTTTGTGGAGGGATATAAGTCAGACTACAGAGCAGACTTCCTGATAGCAGCAGCAGCATCTTCTTGGACGTTAGAAATCCGCCTCTAAGGAAGTCTTTTGCTGTGAGAGATCCCAAGCTGACCAGACATTCCTGGTGCCGGGCCATGGATGGGAGGATTTGGGGTAGACAGCTGGGCTTGTGGGTAAACCAGAGCGGTCCCCCGAGTCTGTGGTAACCAGAACACTGCTCATGCCTCGGCCCAGGCACGTCTGGGGCTGTCACTGAGACTGTCAAGCTGCTGAGCTCAGAGCGCAGAGCAGAACTAGCCCCTGCCTTCCAGAGCCTCTGGCGTCCTCGGCTGCCCTCGGGTGCTGGGCCAGGACTGGGTGGCCAGGTCTCCCACGAAGCTCTCAACAAGTTCCAGGCCTCTCCTCCTGTGCTCAGATCTCACCCCCAGTCACACCCCTTCCTCCTCACATCCCTCAGAGAGTAGGAAGCTGGGGGGTGGGGGGAGAGGTTTCTAATGGGCCTTGTCCCAGCCTTGAGGACTGTCTAAAGGGCTTGGGGCTGCCAGCCACTGGGCCTGGGCGCCAGGTTTCTCGAACAGGGTCAGAGCTGGTTCAGAAGCCCTGTGTGGGCCGACCTGAGGGATTCAAGTCGCCTTCCTGGCTGGCAGGCTGTCCCCTCTCCCTGGGTCACAGGGAGAAATGGGCTTGGCCAGGGAAAGTGGTCTGGAATGGCCTTTGAGATCGTCCCTGGAGGCTTTTAAAAATGAGTTTCCTGGTAAGGAAGACACTCAGGCCTCGGGCAGGATTCTCGGTAGAGTCTCTTGGGTTTGCTCTGATCTGACAAATGCCAGCAGAAACCACCCGGCCGTCTGTGTTCCAGCAGTGCTGGGAGCCGTGGCTTCCCCAGATGCAGCATCAGCAGAAAGCCGCAGCCAAGGCACAGGGATGTTTGCTTTAAGGCCTGTGCTAAGTCCCAGGGGCAGCGGGTATGTAAAAGAGAGCCCAGCCCTCAGCTTTGCCCCTTTTGTTCAAATGCACACATTCCTAGCTTCTTAAGGAATGGCTGACCCGCAAGTGATGCTAGAGGGGCTCATCCATGAGTCATGACAGTCTAAGATACCTCTGTGAGTGTCCAGGCTGCCTCCAAGGTCATGGAGGGAGCAGGGCCTGCCACTGCCAGCTCTTCTAGGACTAACGTCTGTCTGGGCAGCTGGATCTATGAAAGGTCTGTCCTAGGCCAAAGGCTATGGGAGAAGGTGGTCAAGGATATAAAGGGTAGGGGAGGAGAGGAGACCAGAGTTGAGGATGGACAGAACCCACCAGGCCTGATCCTCATCCTGGCCCCTCTACTGTGGGACTCTGGACAAGTTTCATGTTCCCTCCGATTTTTCTTTTCTGAGTCTGTGAAATGGTCATGCCTGATAGGTCCAGTACGCAGGTTGCTTCTGGCAGGGAGCTGAGTGCTCAGCAAGGCCCCATCTGTTTCCAGTTAGAGTGGCTCTTGGTTCTTCCCTCATGTTGGGGTGCTGACTCCTACATGATCAGTGCCAGGTATTGGATGGAGTCATTGGGGACTAGAGAAGGGGAGAGGGTACTTGGCGGTGGGGAAGTTGTTGAGCAAACCTTCCTGGGAAGAGAAGCCATGTGGAGCAAAGGCGGAGGCTGAGGCACACTGCTGAAACGCTAGGGAGGCTAGAGAAGGAGGTGACAATGATGGCACTCAGGGAAGCCTCCTGGCAGCATGTGCAAGGATGCCTGGGGAGGCCCAGCCCCTGGATACTTCGGAGGGTAGGAATCAGGAGGCTGGGCTGGCGTTCAGGGCCTGGACTCCCTGTCCCAGAGAGTAGTGGGGCCATTGGTATGAGGGATCTTGCCACGAGGTCTTTGCCCGGTACATCTGCCTAGCTTCCAGGCCCAGCTGCGAGCTAGAGAGGAAAGAGTCTCATTGCCTGAGAAGGGCTCTTGTCCGGTTGAGGAGGCAGGTCTGGGCTGGCAGCTACGGCACCAGACGGTCTGACCCAGAACACCACATTCCAGCCAGGCTTCTAGGTGCTGTCCGCTGCATAGCTTCCCCTAGCGGGGATTTGAACACCTGCTATTCCTTAGGCCAGATCCCCCTGCCTGCTGTTTTTTCAAGTATCACAATGTTTATTGGTAGATAAAAATATGTGAAATCAGGGCATGAATATGACTTGATAAAGTAGATTTAATTTCAGTACTGTAAGAGGGACCAATTCATATTCTCACCATTTTCTTCACATCCACAAAAACCACTTCAAGAGCATTAATGACCTCTCAAAACTGATTAGTTTTATGCAAGTGAACCATGTTTCTTTTAAAAAGACTTTTGCCCTTGCCCAGGGTCAAGGATATTAACATTTAGCACATAAAGCCCATTAGTAGAGGTAGAAATACAGGTGATAGACTATTACCTCAATGACCATCAGTTACAGGTAAGAACTTTTCTGTAACAACCAAATGGGAAACCAAATATTGCAACAACTCAACTGTTACTGAGCAAAGCACCTTCTCCCACCCATGCCTTATTCCAGGTGTAAGTGGGCCCTGACCAGACTGTGGTGAGATGGGGAAAAAATATTGCGCAGGGCAGGGGCTCATGGCAGATGGCCTGGGCTGAGGACATAGAGTGTGTACATCTTTTGGGCAAAAAGACAGCAGCATCCATGTGGCAGAGCAGGGGGCTAGTGGCTTCTCCCTGCTCCTCCTTACCCTTAGTTCTCTCCCCCTTTTGGGTGGCCACGGGAGAAAAGTAGGTGTGAATGGTAGAGTGTTGGTGAAGATAGCAGATGGTGAAGGCCTCCTGCGGGCCTTATAAGGTTCAAGTCCACTCTGTGACTGCCCAGGAGCCACAGAGGACATGAGTGCTGCCCGCCACCCAGGTGCCACCGAGAGATGCAGCTGGAAGGCGTCTACTCCAATGGCATGCACAGTCCTCCCTCCGTCCCCTCTCTCCCTCCCACATACTCTTCCATCTCTCCTTTAACACACCTGACCATAGGCTGGGAGCATTCTTCCCTTGATGGGGTATAGGAAGAGGGGTCCTACAGGGTCTCCTAAACCTGTAGAGGGATTATGGGTCCCATTCTCCCTTCCTCTTTTAAGAAGCCCAGGAGAGCGTGGCCTTCTAGGCCCACAGACACACAAGGATGCCTTGGTCAGGGGGGCTTGTGGAAATGTTCACAAATGGGACCTTTCCTGTTGTCTTCCGGGTGACTTCCCCAGGAGACAGGAAGAATGCAGTCCCCTGCAGCGGAAGCCAACCCTGGCTGTTGGGCCTTCATACACACGTGCACAAACATGCACATACGGTCCCTTCCCAGCCGCTGTCCTTGGTATGCCATCACTAACCACTTGTTCCCCACTTCAAAATCCAGGAGTAAACCGTCCTGCTGTCTTCATCCACCCTCTCCCCAGTCTTTCATTCAGTCCATAGTTATTTACTGAGCAGGAGTAAATACTCTGTTCTAGACTCCAGGATACCACAGTGATCAAAAGTCCCTGTCATGGAGTTTATATGTCCTGTGCCAGGTGGGATATGTGTTACAAAGAATAGTGGCTCAAGTGAAAGGGGCTTTGGAGAGGCCTCTGAAGAGGCAGTGTTTGAGGAGAGATCGCCACTTTCCAGGCAAGGGGACAGGGAAAGGCCTTGGGGTGAGGATGTACAGACAAGTGATATGGTCTGCTTTGTGTTTTAAGATCACTGGCTGAGTGTGGAAATAGACTGGGGCATGGGAGGCAAGGGCAACGCTGGGAGACTGTTGTTGCCACGATCCCGCTGAGTCTTACCTGTCCCTTCCCAGGGCCCTTCTGCTCTGTCTTCTCCTCTTTCCCTCATCCTGTCCCCAAGAGCCTGTAGGATTGGCCTGCCCACCCCCAGCCATTCCTAGGGCAAGGCCACTCTTCTCCCAGCCTTTTCTCCCCATTACACTATTCATTTGCCCTCTAGACCACTTCTCACTTTTGCCATCCTCCTGGCTGTTTACCTTTGTATTTTACTCCTCTGACCTCTGTGATGGCCCAGCCTAGCATGCCCTCTTATCCTCTCAGTCCTATTTGGGTGTCATCTCCACTATACCCCCAGGGCTTATGGCATCTCTTTTTAATATGTATCATTTCTGCCTCGGGGTATGTTGGCTTGCTCAGCTAGCCCTGAGGCCCTGGAAAGCAGGGTCCATTTCTTATTCTGCTCTAGGTGAGGGCCATCCTAGAGCCTGCCATGCAGAAGGGCCTCAGAGGCTTGTGAGTGGCACCTTGGGTTGGGGTTTCCCGGACCTTCTTATCATTTGGAGGCACAGTAGTTCTACTTGTGCTTGGACTCTGTACTGTGCTTGGACAATATACTGGCTCATGGCCCAAGGGTCCGGGGCATCTCCAGGGCCTTGGCTGATTGCTTTGGAGTAGGCCCTGAGCTAACAGGGAGGTGGACGTGGGGTAGCAGCAGGACACAACTCCAGGGGAGAGGCTGAGGCCCAGAATTGGGGTGGGGATGGGGACTTGGGGCCCCGGGGAGGTTCAGCACGGCCAACCCTCACTGCCCATCCTTATGTTTCAGACCTGAAACTGCACCTGCAGAGCACTGACTATGGCAACTTCCTGGCCAATGAGGCGTCACCACTGACAGTGTCAGTCATTGATGATCGACTCAAGGAGAAGATGGTGGTAGAGTTCCGCCACATGAGGAACCACGCCTATGAGCCACTCGCCAGCTTCCTGGACTTCATTACGTGAGTGCACCCTATAGTGCCCCCCTGACTCACACACACACACACACACACACACACACACACACACACGCACACTAGGCAGAACAGCTGTGCCCAGCATGGGCTTAGGCCAGCTGCCTATAGAGTCCTCCTGGGCTGTGTGGCTGGGCTGGTCATTCAACAACCCTGGACCTCTAAGCCACCATCCACAGAGTGGGGTCACCAGCCACTTCACTGCTGGCCAGGAATCTGGTGGGCAGGCAGATGTCCCACGCTGTAGTGCTGGATAAAGCCCCTTTCCCTGCACCCCTGATGTTACAGAGATTGAGGTGGGGAGACCAGGGACAATGGGAGCCCTTTTCCTCACTCACCCGACAGCACCCACACTGAACACTCACTGGGTCCTCCCCACCCCATGCCATGATCGGGAGTCTGGGTGGACAGAGCTCTGAAGAGCCAGGTTATCGGTTGGGATGGACCATTCAGGCTTTCGAGCCCTATCTGGGCTGAGTCCCAGTCCTCATCATCTTCTCTGACCATGGCCCTGGGTCTAAGGAGAAGAGGTGGTGGGAGTGCTGGGGGCGGCTGCCTTTCCCAGTTCTGGCCAGGCCCCCATGCTTGTGACCCTGGAGATACTGAGAGAGGAAAGGACCTGGGACCTGCAGGCCAGGGGAGGGCAGTTGGACAAGGCAGCCTCTGCTTGCCAGGCCTACCTATGGAAACACGGAGGTAGAGAGGCCCCCCTCTGCAGTGATGGCCATGAGCCATGAGCCAGGGACTGGTTGGCAAGGAGATGCCCCCTGTCCAGGTGGCTGCCTCACACAGTGGTGAGCAGAGGTATGGTCGATGGCTGGCTTAAGAGTGTGCTCTGAATTGGTGGAGTGTGAGTGTGTGTTGTGGGGAAGTGTTTCCAAGCACTCTTCTGGGTACCATGTAGCTTTTATCATTCCCTGATTGCGGTGCCCCTACCCTCCTCCTTAGGACCTGGCATATCTGCCCTGCTTGTCCCTGCAGGGACAGGGCTACATCCTTGCTGACTGGCCTGATCCCCCCACCACTTCCCCGCCAAGAATAGCCTCTTACTCAAGATCCACTGCAGCCAGAAGGGCCCCATCCTCAGGCGAGCGCCACAGTCTGGGACACCTGAAGGGCTCAGGGAACCTGTCCAGGCTGGGAAGCAAGCTCTCCTGGCCACAGGCTGCCTTCCCATGGGCCTCCCTGCTGTCCTGGCTGGGCCCATAATCACTGCTCTAACCCCGGTCAAGGTACAGCTGACATGGTCCTACTGGGACAGGAGGCCAGACAGAGATGGGGTGTGTCTTGTGCTGCTGCATTGTGGATCACATCACAGCACCCCATCTGTCAATCAACCCCTAGCCTGGGTCTGTATGTCCCTTGCCCCAAGGCCAGAGCTGAGGACTACAAGGAAATAATGCATTTATTGCCAGAACCCAGCCTTCATCTTGTTTGCACAAGGTTCCTTCAGTTTCCTGGTGAATGTTCTGGTTTTGCCAGCTAGGCTGGCCAGAGGAGGTCTGACCCAGCCCCATGCCAGTGGTCAGAGGGCAGATGTCCTCCATCCTGCCGCCTGCTTGGCCACCTGCCTATGTAGCTAGCCCCTGGCCTGTCTTGGTGCTCTGAGACTTGGTCTCAGCCTGCCAGGCTATGAAACCTGAGAGAGCTCTGAGCGTGACTGAGGCTGCACAGTCGCCAGCTCTTTGCTGGAGATTGGCTTCAAGCACCAAGTATGCTTAAAGCAGCCAAGTGCTATCCTGTGGCAGGCTGTCACTTCCCGCCCCTTCCATTCATGGGTGATTGTGGCTTACAGTCTTCCCATCCCCTTACTCCTGCTCTCACTCAGGAAGAGCTCAGCAGCCACGCGTCAGCCTTTCTGAACCTGTGGTTGCTCGGTCCATGACCTCGTCATTTCCAGTGACCCGCTCCTCTGCTCTCCACTTCAGCTGCCCCCACCAATGGCTACCCAAGGCCATGTCACCCTGGAACTGCTCCACCCTTGAAATCGCTGAGTCAGGCACTCCCTCTCTACCCACAGCCTTCAGGCCCTCCAGCCCACTCTCAGTCCCTTGTGGGACTTGGGTTCCGGACTCAGCAGGACACTGGGACTTGCTTCCTCCCCTGCTGCCCCTTCTGTCTTCATTTTCCTCCCTCTCCAGCTGAGGTTCCCTGGTCCATCATTCGAGCGCTCTTCTGCCAACATCCACAGCTCTCTTGGCTGCCCATCTTGTGGTTCCGCCCAGCTGGCAGCCCCCCAGCCCTGGAGGAATTCCAGCAGCCTCCAGCCTGGAGGCACCCTCCCCCACCTCCACTGCCGGGAGCAAAGCTGGGGAAGCCGGCATTGGGTGATCCCTACTGCCAGACGTGCACGCAGACCAGCTCAGCTGGCCTTGACTTGTCCCTCTGCCCAGCCGGACACTTGCTCTCCCTACTCAGCACCCTGCAACCCCCCACCAAGTGTCTCCCCATCTTAAACAGCGTCCTTCTCCCACCCCCAAATCTTCTCTCTGGGCTGATTACCCACCACCTTCTCCACAAAGACAATAGAGGCCAGTCCTCCCAGCACTGCATCTGTACCTCCAGCCCCAATCCTGTGGCAGAGGCACCCTCTTTTCTTGGGTCCTTCTGCCAATGTCCTGTGGACCCTGAGTGGCCACTCATCTGCATTTCTGTCTGTGCAGCCACCTTCCCTTCCAGATTCTTCTCATCAGCATCTAAAAAACCCTGAAATCTCTCACACCACTAAAAACCCTTCTTGTGGGACCTAAACTTGTACATTCACTGTCAGTTCTTTCACCTCCCCTCACCTTTCTAGCCTCCAGTCAGCCTCCACAGTCCCGTCATTCCACCACAAGGCCCTGGCTAGTGGTGACCACTAACCTTCACGTGGCCAAGCTCTCCAGGCCTAATCAGAAGCCACACCTCTCTCACCCCCCTCCAGCAGTCTCCTTCCTCTCATGGTGTCCCTCCAATTTAACTCCTACCTTGCTGGCTGCTCTTCTCCACTCCACCTCTTCCACCTCCTCTACTCTGAGTCATCCCAGAAGTGGGGAGTGGTGTTATGGAAAGGTGCTTGTCTAGGGGACCTCCCCCAGGCTGGAGACTCAGAACTGACTTCTCCGAGGATGTGGCTATTTGGCTGAGGGGAAAGGTGTTTAAAGGAGAAATTGGGGGTGGAGAGTTCTAGACCAAGGGAGCCTTACATGTCCTGAGCAGATGGAGCATGGCACCCCATACCCTGGAGATGTCCAGAGGAGAGTGCGGTCCCCCAAGTGATAGAAATGTCAGCTAGAGGTTTCATCCGGGGTGTGAAGACTTGAGGGAATAATGTCATCATTGCCCACAGACAGAGCTGGCCCAGCTAGGGCAGAGGTTGGGAACACCACAGAGGTCACCTTAGCTGCATCCCTCAGAGTCTCTTAGTTGCCTTTGGAGCTGCCCCAAGGTGGCTGGAACAGGCTTTTGCATGAGTTCCTTGTGACTGAAAGTGTGCAAGAAAAAGCTGGTTAAGACCTCCTTTGCCCTCCCGTGATGAGAGACAGTGTCCAATGGTTTTGTAGATCCCAGCCAGCCTTCAGCCAACACACGTTACCAGTATCAGCTCTGGGCCAGGCCCAGTGCCAGAGGGAGGGTGATATATGGATGCAATGGGATGGGTGCCAGTGGTGGTGTAGACAGCTCCTGGAGAGGCCTGCGAACAGCTGCCACAAATGGAGCTAGGGGTCACAGGAGGCTTCCTAGCATTAAGAGGACTCCAGGATCAGGTGGGGTTAGATAGGCCACTTGGGAGAGTGGGTGGCCAGAGCAGAGGCAGCTGCCTGGCATGGGGCAGACAGACCCTGAGTGAGATAGGTCCCCTTGAAGTTGACTGTCATTAGTCATATGGTCTTGAGATGATTCAGTTCAATCTTATGCAGTAACATGTAATATGTCACTGTACCAAGGGCCCCTTCCAGGCCCAGCCATTAACTTGCTATGTGACATGTGATAGAGCCTCTGTTAGGGTTTTTTGGCTTTGGAGGGTGTCTTTATCTGGCCCATTCTATGATGGTTTCCCATTAAAGAGTAGGCCCCGGAAGAGAAGCTGGGAGAGCTGCTTGTGGGAGAAGTGAGTCTGCTCTCTAGGGATTCCCAGGTGGGCCCCAGAGACCTTTGTCTTTAGATGAGTGAGCTTCCCTGAAGGGGACCATCCCCAGTGTTCAGTACCTGCCTGCATTCCGGGTACTCATTGGCAGAGCCTGGGCATGTGAAACTACACCATCTGGGAGAGGTAAGGTCCCATCTTTCTCTTGTACCAGGGGCTTCAGTGCTACCAGCCTGGAGTGGGCAGCTAGAGGGAGGCTTTGTCCCAGGACAATGGCCTCAAGTGCCGTGCACCTGTTAGCACACTTGCCATTCTCCCCAGGACACATTGCTCCAACCATAGACCCTGCTGCATCAGGTTTTCTTAAGCCTCCCTCTCCTGGTCCTCCAACCCTCGCTGTTCACAACTAGTGTTTCTGGGTGTGTACAGGCTAGGGCTCTGACCTGCTGTGGCTTCTGAGTCCTGGGCTAGACCTGGCTCCTGCCTTGAGGAAGAACTAGCACACACACTGTTTTCCTGGGCCTGGGGGAGAGCACACAGGAGCTCTTCAAGGCCCAGAAGGCCCAGATCAAGTGGGAGGATCCAATTGGGCCTCTGAGTGGGGCAGGATTTTAATGAGAAGAAGACCAGAACCTCAGTAGTTCTTCTGTGGCCACACTTCAGTCATCCTGATTGCAGAAGGGAAACTGAGGCTTGACAGCTGGTGTGCTGAGACCATAGCTTGATATCTCTTCACTTTCCACCCTGGGCAGGGCTCTGAAGGACTCAGATGTGATTGAGTACAGATACTGTTACTAGCAGCCACTACTGGGAGCTATGGATGGACAGACTGGCAGGGGTACCTAGTTATCATGGCCTCCCCACCAGAGCTAGGCTGGCCCCCAGGGCTGGGATGGTGAGAAGGTGGAAGTAGGCCATGCTGCTCCAGCAGGTGGCGCCAAAGGGCATAACAGAGGTACAGGATTGGCAAGGGACTCTGAAAACTTCTTGGAGGAAGTGGCTTCCTAAACTCCAACCCAAGTTAAATCTTCAAGACACAGGGCGAGGGAGGGCCTCTGGGCAGAGGAATACAGACTGCCCCACTCCCACCCCACGAGGGCCTCCTTGGCCTGGCGGACAGCCGCCTGTCCACTCCCCAGCTGTCTTCCTCTGGAGGGAGACGCTGACCAGCTGGAACCTCATTCTCCCCTATTGAGGCCAAATGAAGGGAGGACTGGTGGAGTGGCTTTCTGGGGGCCGGGAGGCAGCTGCTGCAGCCAGACAAGGAGGAGGAGGATTTCCCTGCCTGTTGAAGACCTTGGCCTTGGGAGAGAAGCAGACAGCTGGGCCAGTGTCATCTTTGCCAGGCCTGCCCTGCCTCCTTTCTCCCAGGAAAGAGGATTCTGGCTTTCATTGGCCAGGGGAGAAAGCAGGGGCTGCTGCTGCAGCAGCCTTGTAGTTGACCTAGGGGGAGGGAAGTGCTGGGCCTGGCACAGGATCACCCAAGGCTGGCCTGGCCTGGGTTAGAAGGGAGCCTTGAAAGGGGCTGATGGGCAAGTGACCATTACTCGGTTCAGCCTTTCCCTTGCTGCCCACCTAGTACTTCTAGCAGGAGAGGCAGGGGGCAGCCAGGGGCTACAACCACTGGCCCCCACATCTGCTGTCGGGGCTGAAAAGTGAGTCATAGCTGGCCTGTTCCGCATCGCTGGAAGGACAGCAGCAAAGCCAAACGGTGGAGTCTTCCCACAGGGCTCTCCTCTGAGGTGGGGCCAATACCCTGAGGCACATCCCTTGGGCCCTGGCCCCAGCCCCGCTCCCACCCTAAACTGAAACCTTGAGTTGCAGGCACAAGGAGTGGGTAGGTTTAGAAAAAAGGAAGACTAGCTTGAGGGGATCCCTCTCAGAAGAAAAGGCTAAATGGGGAGAGTATAGAGCCCCAGGGCATGGGAACCTTGGACATGGGTGGAGGCATGTAGACGCTGACCATGAGGACAGAGAGCTCGTCTCCCATATGGTATGACCTGGTGCCTGAACTCTCTGTGCCTGTTTCCTCTGATGGCTGGTGATGCAGATGGTTGTGAGATCAGTTGGATAGTACAGGTCTAAGAGGTACGCTGTTCTCTCCCTCCCTGTACAGGGGGTTGTGAGTGTAAAAGAGCATCCTTAGGCTCGGGGGTGAGGTCTTTGTGGCTGTTTCAGGGAGCATGATGGCTAGAGTGGTGCTGGATGGGGTGTAGGAGGTAGTATGTAACATGGTCCTGGGGTACATGAGATTCTGGAGGCATCAGGAGCAGGAGGAATGTGCTGTCCAGGGTAGAGAAGATGCAGGCTGGGGCCAGAGACCAAGGCACAAAACTAAACTCTGAACCTCTCTGAGGTCTCTGTACTCTGCCAGCTCTGTCAGGTCAGGGTCAGAAGGCTAGCCATGTGGGCCTCTTGGTTTACAACTGCCAGTGGGCCCTGCCTGAAGCCCTCAGTTTCAGAAGCAGGGGTGGGGGGGGGCTGTGTCTTCTCAGCACACATCCTGTAGCTGACTGACCCAGCCATCCTGGGGGCGGAGGGAGGGCAGCTGCCTGGCCCCAAGCCCAGGAGAGCAGAGGTCGTAGCAGGGCGCTTGGCTGGGTGGGAGTAGGGGTCAGGCTGGGACAGGAGCTGTGGCTTCTTCCTCCTGCCGCCTTCCTGGAGGGCCCTGTGGGAACTCCCCCAATGGCCAGCTCTCTCAGCTGAAGCCTGGGCCATCAACCTCCTTCCCTTTCTTCCCTTGGTATTGGGGGCCACTCCTACCGGGGGTCTTCCTTGGACAGCCTCAGCACTGGTGCTCACAATACTGTCACAGGACAGGGGCCTGGCTGGTTGGGGCCTGTGCTCAGTGCCCAGTTCAGGGCAGCAGCCTCCACCCCAGCTCTCACCCTTCAGTCGGAGCCCCTCTGGTCTTGGAAGATGTCCTCCCCCGAGGCCTTATCCAACTCCTTTGTGCCCTGAATTCATCGCTGGTGAAAAGCTGGAGGAATGTTGTGGCTACGCAGCCTGACTGTGGCCTGGGGCCCTTTCCCCCTCTTCACCCTATCCCCACATAGGTGACTACACAGAACTCATTACCCTAGTCCCTTTGTGGCATTGTCTTAATGACTGGAGGCAGAACGTGCCCCTCACCAGGTCTGAACTGGCATCGCCACCCCTCCCCAGCTCCACAGCCCCCTCTGCTGTCCATGCACTGTCCAGAGCACAGAGCCTGCGGAGCCTCCACCTGGACTGACCAGCCTCCTGTCCAGGTCTCTGGGTCTCCTCCGTGCTCTCCTGGGTGGATGCCTGGCCCTGGCCTTAGTCCCTAAAGGAGAAGGCGGTGCTCTGTCTTTGGAGTGGGCTGCGCAGGGCAGCTGTCTGCCTGCTCTGTCTCTGCCTAACCTGGGGCCTTACTCCAGAGGGGCCCTCCCACTGGCTCCCTTCTGGCCTTCCCTAGAGAAGTTTCTTTCCACCCCACCCCTCAGCCTTTCCTCCCTTTGCCATCTTCCCCTCGTCCTCTGTTCCCACCCAGCAGCCAGAATGGCTTAACTGGACTGGATACTCCCTACTTACATCCTGCTCGTGGATCCCTCATGCTCACAATGAAGGCAGGACCCTCAGCTCAGCCTACAGGACCAGTCTCCAGGCCCCACCCTGCTGGCAGCAATGCCCTGGTTCCTTTCCCTCTGCCAATCCTGACTCTGCTCAGTTCCTCGAATGCGGCTGCCACTTAGTGAACGCCTCCAGGCCTTTGCACACACTGTTCTCTGTTCCCAGGACACACTTTCATCTCCCAGTTCTTGCATCCCCCAGGCTGGCCAATGCACCTCACCTCCATGTGCCCATGGTTCCTGTGTCCTTCTAGAACATGGTTCACACTGTGGGGTAGTTACCTGTTTCCCAGTCACTTGTGAGCCATGAATTCCACTCCCTCCTGCCCACCAAGGAAAGGCCATGTCTGTCCTGTGCTCCTGGTACTTGAGTAGGGGGTGCTCTTGGGCAGGGAGAGAAGCTAGTGGTATTTATCTGCAGCACCCTTGAGGTAGCATTCATTGTCAAGGGGCTGGTGGCCTGTGCAGGGTGGGGGCAGGGGCGTGGTATCCGGACTTCCAGCCCACCCCCCGACGGGCTGCCTGCTGTTGTGTGCCTCCTGTAGTTACAGCTACATGATTGACAACGTGATCCTACTCATCACGGGTACGCTGCACCAGCGCTCTATCGCCGAGCTTGTGCCCAAGTGCCACCCACTAGGCAGCTTCGAGCAGATGGAGGCCGTGAACATTGCACAGACACCTGCCGAGCTCTACAATGCCATTCTAGTGGACACGCCCCTTGGTGAGCCTCTGTGGTGGAGGAGGGAGGAAGTGGGCATCAGTGTCAGTGCCTCAGTGTGGGGTTTGTGGAACCCCGGAGATGACCCTGAGCTGGATGCAAGGCCTGCCCACTGCTGCTTATCATTATCATTATATTCCCCTCGACTTCCCCTCCTGTTCCCTCCTCCTCACTCTGCCTTCTCCTTTGCTGTTGTTTTTACTGGGCCAGGCAGGCTACCCTCAGGGCCTGACTCGGACCACCTATCTTTGCGAAACTGGGTGATTTCTCAGAATGCACATGAGGGCTGGGTTCAAGGAGAGTGGAGAGAGGCCCAGTTCCCTCGGAGTCTTGGGAGCGCTTACTGACTGTGGTCCCCAAGCAGGGTGGGAGTGGTTGGTTGCCCCTGAGAAGAGGAGGGAAGCAAATAGCTTCACTTGCCTCTACCGAGCAGGTCCCAGGGGCCAGGTCAGGCAGTGTCCGGCAGGATGTAGGGTTCATGTTAGAGGCCAAGGAAGGGGAACTGGGAGCTTCCTGCAGGGCTCCGCCTAAGCAGTGCTGGCTCCTGCCTGCTGTGGAGGCTGGGGAGAAGGCACTAAGGCTGTCATCAGCTAGTGCCCTCATAGCCAGAGTCCTAGTCCCCAGGGCACCACCTCCAGGAAGCCACAAGGGTTGAACCACTGGGCTGTAAGTAGCACTTCATCCTGCACAAAGAGGCCTGAGCCTTACCCGCTGGCTTTATCTGTCATAGACTCTCCCCGTAACTTTGAGCTAGTTCTAGGGTGTTTGTGGTTTCTTCAGTGTCTCCATCTTTAAAAAAAGAGACAGATGAGTGAGTCCACAGGCTCCCCTGGGGGTGGGGGTGGGGGGCTGTATCCTGCTCTGGCCTCTACATCCAGCCCAACAGTGGCCCTTTGGGTCTCTGGCCCATGCCCACCCAGCTGTCGAACTAATTTCTTGTCCTAAGGAGAAAATGCTGCTTTTCCAAATGTGGAACCCAGGCTCTCCTGGGGGATACAGAGAAGTGGGCGTCAGACCCAAAATCCACAGCTGCCCCTCAAGAAGGGAGGATGTCATGGCCTCTCCTGCAAGCCTGTCTTTGGCATAGTCCGAAGCTTGGGTCTGCCCCAGCAGTGATTAGATCATTTTGTGGCTGACTGCCTCCTTTATAAATCAGTTTTAGGAGCAAGAAGGCAGGAGAAGCCCAGGTCAGTGCACATAGCCCAGAGTATTGCCACTTCCAAGGCAATAGCCCAGATTGGGTTGGGGGCCCCCCAATACCCAGCCAGATGGGTCATGTGGCAGGGGTCCCTGTGTGCTCAGCAGGGGCAGTTGAACATCAGCAGGATTCTTCCCTAAGCTAAGTCCACTCACCCACCCTCATGCCCAGCCTTTCCTCCTCAGCGGCTTTTTTCCAGGACTGCATCTCAGAGCAGGACCTTGATGAGATGAATATTGAGATCATCCGGAACACTCTCTACAAGGTAGCAGTGGGGGGCTAACCTGCAAGCGGGTGGGCCTGTGATAGATGTGGGGTGGTGGGGCAGGGTGCAGCTGCACCAGGCTCCAACCCCAGGGGCTTTTCCATTCACTTTCTGGCTCCTTTGATGGGCACAAGGCTGCATGGAACAGGTTCTCCATCCCGTGGCGCCCGCGGCGGGCCCAGATAAGATCAGCAGGAGTGGCGGGTGCTCCACAGCTCGGCTTGTCAGAGCTGGCTCCTGGATGACTGCTCTCCCTGCATCCCAGAGGGTCACGGGCCACCACCCAGGCCATAGCTGTCAGGCTCACCCCACCTGGACTGTTGCCAGCAAGGACAGGCACTTGAGCAGAGACAACAGTGTGCTTAGCTACGGGGAGGGGAGGGACTCAGCCAGGTATAGTCAGGTCCCTGTGTCCTTCTCAGGGTCCAAGGCCTCGAGCCAGTACCATGTCCCAACATTCTCAGTGCCCCCTACCTTCTGCTTCCCACCAGGCTGTGGCACAGACTGGTGACCCCTGGAGATAGAGTGGGCTTGATCAGCACTGCCCAGGCATGAAGAGGTTGGGAGCAGAGCTGGGAGCCAAGAAAGGGGGCTGGTAAGGGACCAGTGAGGGACATTTGGGATAGACTGAGCTCTAGCTGAGGTGAGGTGCTGAGCTTTGGTGCCAGGACCCCTGATGGACTGCAGCCAGGAACATGGGTCAGCAGTGGGCAGGCCCCGAAGGAGGGCTGAGGATAACACTGGCCAAGGGCCCTGCTGACCTAACCCTGAGAACATCTGTCTATTGGATCTTTACAGTGAGGGTCCTCCCCTGCCCTGGTTGGCATTAGGTGGCCAATTCTTGGCTGCAGCCTGAGTCCAGGCCCTCCAGGCTCCCTGCAGGATTCTGGGCCAGAGCGCAGGGAGGGTGTGGTGGTAGCAAAAGGCCTGCCTGGAGGTAGCAGTGGTGTAGGCAGGGGAACAGCACATGCAGAAGCAAGCATGGAACATGGGCCAAGTGGCAAGCGGTTTGCTGTGGAAGTGCAGGTTCCAGAAGGACAGCAAGAGATAGGGCTAGAAAAAGAAGCAGGCATAGGATCAAGTCACCCAGAGCCTTGAATGCCAGACCAGGAGTTTGAACTTTATCTGGTGGACAGGGCCAGCCAACAAAGGCTTCCCACAGGTCAGAGTATCATGAGAAAGCCCCTCTGGCTGCAATGTGGAGGACAGATGGAGGGGATGAGCCCAGAGGTAAGACTATCAACTTCTTCAATCCTTAGTACTGCCCTAGGAGCTAGGTAGGCATCAGTATTCCCATTTGTAAGATGAGGAAACTGAGGACTCAGAGAAGTAGGGTAGGTTGCCTGAAGCCACTTGCTAGACACTGGCAGCACTGGGGAATCACACTTGACTCGGCCTGTTTGCAAAGCAAGCACGCTCATCCACTTCACTAGTAGGGAGGCAGGCTAGCCAGTCAGTGGGGTGTGTGTGTTTGTGTGTGTGTTCATGTGTTCGTTCCCTCCCTCCCAGCTGGCATGTTGCCGGGTTCCCTGCCCTGAGACAGGGTGAGGGGTGCGGCTGTCCCCCCAGCCTCACCCACACACTCACCGGGACTAACTGGTTATAGCTGGAGTCACTGGTGAGGGCTGCCGGGGCACCAGCTCGTAAACATCGATCTAATGCTATAGGCACTGTGCCAGGACCGCCCGCCCAGTAGGCAATGTACCAGCCCAGTGGCCACAGATGGGAGATTAGGCGGACCCTCAGCCGCCTGCTGGGTGGGAACTGTAGGCAGCTGGCGCAACAACCATGGGCTGGCAGACTCCTCCAGGGCACAGAGTGGGGGTGGAAAGGTGACCTTGGTACCTGGGCCTTTGGGGTCTTGCCAGTTTCTTAAGCTGCCCTAGCCTCCAGAAGAGATTCTGGGCCTGTCCCACCAGCCTCCCCTACCCTGGGGTCAGCCTCTCCGCAAAGGCTGGTGGCTTCCCCACAAGAACCGCAGACCCCACTGGGGCAGGCCTGGGGATTTGGGCATAGCCAGCTTGGCTGGCCACAGGGAAGGAGGTGGCTAGGGACAGTACTAGAAGGACTAAACAGCATCGCCAAGCTATGGGAAGGTCGGCAGCTATTTCTGCCACCCAAGCCCTCTGATTCCTGGGGTTCCTCTGTGCTGTGACCCACTCTTCCCTTCCAGAATTCTTACTCCCTGACCTGTCCTAGATTTGTGTTTCCTGTGACCCCAGTGGTCACCTCAGGCCTTCCTCTGAGCCCAGCTTGCCCAGTGCTGCTGGCCAGGCTGGGCCTGGGCTTGTTGACACCTAGGTCTCATCTCACCTCCTCCATTGGGGCAGCAGAGCTGGTGGCCCAAGTCAGCTGGTGGTGGGTACAAAGGTCTCTACACCTTGGAGGGCACATCTCAGCATGGAAGGCCTTCCATGCCTCCCAGCTCTCACCCCCAACTCGGAAGAATAGTCTCTATATCTAGCCTCTGAAGCCAGGGTCCCTGTGACCATGCCACCAGATGGTACCTGGGAGGGTCTGAGTAAAGGGAGCTCCCCAGGGAGGCCACAAGACAATCCCCGCTTCCTTGACTTAGAGAGGTGCAAGCCTGTGCCTGGCTGGTTTTATTACAATAGTTCTGGGAGTGGCCTGGGGCCTGGGATGACCTGTCTTCTCCTCATGCCCAGCAGATCCAATTTGGGCAGAAAGTACTCATTCCTACTGGCAGCCCATGTGTCCGGCCATTGCTCTGCAGGACTGACGTCCGTGTAGGCAATAACCATCCCTCAGCAGGAACTGGGCTGACAATTTGGTTCCTGCTGCATGATGCCTGGGGAATGGGAGGAGAAGGAGGTGTTCTGTAAGGTGAGGTGCCGAAAGGGAACAGGGCACCTAGTCCAGACCATCTCCATGAACTCTCAGGAGTAACCTCCCCTCACTAGGCCATAGACATGTGGTTTTCTGAGGCTGAGGAAGCAAGTTCTGAGGGGAAAGCAAGCAGAGCAGCACAGGGAAGACAGAGACTCTCTATGAGCCTAGGCTTCTGTGGGGTAAGGATGTGGGGGGGGGCACTGCACCATGCAGCAGACAGTTGGCCAGAAATTGCTCCTGGGTGAGGGACAAGGCAACAGGCTACTGATGCTTGGCCGGTTAACAGCTGGAGTTTGTGGCTGTTTCAGGGGCTCTGACGTGGGGCTGCCCTGGCCAGTTCATGGGTGTAATGTTTGGACTCACCATGAAAGGGGCTGGGGAGGGACGGGACTGTGAGTAGGCCCGGCAAGCCCCCCAGACTCCCTGCCTGGGCTGAACAAGCCCCATGCTCTGCACAGGCCTACCTGGAGTCCTTCTACAAGTTCTGCACCCTACTGGGCGGGACAACGGCCGATGCCATGTGCCCCATCCTAGAGGTGAGTGCCTGCCCACCCTCCCGCCTGCTGGTCCCCGGAGGAAGGTAGGCCTAGGGGAAGCCCTGCCAACTGACTGGCTACTGCCTTCGTCGTCCCCTCTCTCCTTGCATGTGCACTGGTCCCACAGTTTGAAGCAGACCGCCGCGCCTTCATCATCACCATCAACTCCTTTGGCACAGAGCTGACCAAGGAGGACCGTGCCAAGCTCTTTCCGCACTGCGGGCGGCTCTACCCAGAGGGCTTGGCCCAGCTGGCTCGGGCTGACGACTATGAACAGGTCAAGAACGTGGCCGACTACTACCCGGTGAGTGCCCTCACTACAGGATGGGGGGGGCGGGTGTATTGGCACCCACATCCCCACGCCCAACAGTGCCCTCATGCTCACGCTTCCCACCACTCCCCTGAGCCAGGAGTACAAGCTGCTCTTCGAGGGTGCAGGGAGCAACCCTGGAGACAAGACCCTGGAGGACCGATTCTTCGAGCATGAGGTGGGTGCCGGGCCTGTCCATCACAGGGAGAGGTTGGTGTCTCATCTCAGGCCTGACTCTGCTGTCACAGCCACCTGCACACCACGCCTGCCTCTATCCACAGGTGAAACTGAACAAATTGGCCTTCCTGAACCAGTTCCACTTTGGTGTCTTCTACGCCTTTGTGAAGCTCAAGGAGCAGGAATGTCGCAACATTGTGTGGATTGCTGAGTGCATTGCCCAGCGCCACCGCGCCAAGATTGACAACTACATTCCCATCTTCTAGCGGCCTGGCCCAAGGCTCTCAAGTGCGTGTGTGTGTCTGTGTGCTGTGACCAAGATACAGCTCCCCTGCCTCCCCTGGGGGTAATACATTGTCATAGCGGCTGCCAGCTTCCCGACCCTCTGCTCTTGGATTTACAGAGGGACTGTGTACACGCTTCCCCCACCAAGGATGGACCAAGGCCCCCCTCCAGATCAAGGAAGACCCCTTCAGCCCTGTTTACAGCCGCTGACATGTCTGAGAAGCATGTGGTCACTTTTGTGCCCCTCCCTAACCGGAGAACCCCTGGGGCACATGAGCCTCCTTTCCCCTCTGTGGGTCACCCCCAGAGCCATGGTCCAGGGGAAGGATCGTGTGTGTATGTGTGTGTGTGTCTTTGGGGCACGGGGGAAGTAGCTGTGCATCCTCCTCCTTCAGCCCTGCCCCTCTGAACAATAAACTGCCCTCTGTAAGCCCAGCTGTCTGCTGTCTCCTTTGGGCCGTACCTAGTTCCTCTCCCAGACCCCCAGCTTCCCTCAGGCGCACCCTTACTGAGCCCACTCCCACCTAGCCTAAGCCTTCTACCTCCTTGGTCAGTTTCAGTTGGCAGCCCCAGGCTGACCTGCTCCTGTGCAGCCAGAATTCCTCAGGGCTGGGGAGTCACTGGAGGATAGCCCCTTCCTCTGCTGGAGGCTTGGGTCCTGTCCCTGGAGAGACCCAGGTCTCCCTATTTGCTTCATTTTGAGCCCTACCACTCTCTAGGCCAGGGTCATCACCCCAATTTCACTATAAGGAAACCCAAACCTATGGATAAATGATCTTCCCAAGGTCAGTGAAGTGTGTAAGTGTGAACCACAGAGTCTGTGCCCAGAGCCTTGGCCCCCATGCTGAGCTATAGAGGGTCCCCAGGCAGTTCCCAATATGTCACACAGCCACAGTCTGTTACCCCCTCCAAACAGCATCTCCCCCATTCTAGGAGAAATAAAAATTTATCTTTATTTAAAAAATGGCAATCAGGCAAGTAGGATATGCAGCCTCCCTGTGGCTTGGGGGGCTTGGAGTGGGTGATCGGGGCCCTAATTCTTGAGCCAGTCAAGAAACAGTTGGGAGTCACCCTTTGAATTGCAGCACTGAGGCACTAGTGCTGAGAAGTAATCCTGAGGGGGGGTCCCCAACCTACCCCATCACTCCTTAGTTTGCAGAGGCACTGTCTGCAGGATTCTGTCAAATGCTATAGCTACTTCTTGTACTAAATGCCCCATCCACCTGGGTTTTCCAAGGTGCAGAGTGGAGCCTTATGCCCTGGAAGGTCTGTTTAGTCTCTTGAAGCAGTAGAGAAGCCTGGGAAGCTTCAACCTCACCAGGCCTGGCCTGGGGCATTGGCAGTGGGTAGGCTGGGGTGCTTTAGGTCAGGCTCTAGGACAGACTTGGGGGGCACAATACCCAGGGGAGGGTCAAGGGCTCATAGCACTGCCTCTGCTGGAGCCGCAAGGCCATATGTATACACTGCTCATTGGGCCTCTGTGGGGGAAAGGCCCAGGTTTGGGGCTGGATCCTGGACTGCATCCTGGGTGGGGGTAGGGCTGGGCTGGCTAGGCTGCAGTGCTCTTGGCAGACAGGGATTGATGAAGAAGGCTTGCAGGAAGCGGCGCCGCAGGCCCTCAGGCAGGTAGTTGTGGATGAAGTACATGAGCCCCAGGCCCCGGCCTGGGTAATAGCGACGGCGGGGCTGAGCTGCCAGCAGCGCATCAATGATGGCATCTACAACCGGGCTGAGGTCAGGCAGCGCCAGGCGCAGCGAATGCAGGAACTGCCCATACAAGTGCTCGATGTAGTCCTCACCGTAGGCCTGCAGCAACTCTTGAGACAGGTTGGCAAGCAGCAGCTGCTTGCGCCGCTCCCAGTGGTCCACTTTTCTTACTGACTCTGGGGAAGGAGTGGTAAGGTCAGCCAAAGCCAGACTCAGGCCTGCCTATCCCACCAGAGACCTGCCTCCTGCCAAAGTCACACCCATTCTTTAGACCGGTCCCTGCCCCAGATAAGACCACCACCACAACCCTCTTTTCCCAGCCCCAGGTTTTGTGTACCCCAAACCCTGACCTTCACCTGTCCTGAAGCAGCCAGGCTGGATGACGCTGACCTTGATCCCCCAGGGCAGAAGTTCACAGCTGAATGTGTCCATGAGCAGCACCAGGGCTGCTTTGGAGGTCCCGTAGGCACCCAAGCATGGATACGGCATGTCTCCTGGAGATGGATTGGGGATGGGGCAGCTCAGCTTGGGCCAGGGGCTCCAGCATCCTGAGCAGCTCCTTTTCTGCTGCAGTGTAGGAGTGTACTCACCTGCTGGGCTGCCCACAGTCACTATGCGACCCCTCGAACGGCGCAAAAGTGGCAAGAGGCCCTTGGTTAGCTGCAGTGCCCCAAAGAAATTCACCTCCATGCAGCTGCGGAACGTGGCCACTGGGGACAGCTCTGCGTCAGCCACCACATCATTGAAGCCTGCATTGTTGACCAGGCCCCACAAACCTGAGGGCATGGAACAGGGAGGAAAGCTGTGGGTCAGCCCAGCAGCAAACCTCCAATCCCTGCCCCTCCATACCCACCCAGCCACCTCTCTCCTGGGGGAGCCGTGCCCACTGACCCGTGCTGGTGGTGTGGGCTTTGGTGAACTCCAGTGCATGTCTAATGTCAGCTGGCTTGGTCAGGTCCATCTGCAGCAGCCTTAGGTTAGAGGAACAGCAGGCACGCAGCTCTAGGGCACCGGGGCTATCCAAGTCCAACACAGTGGCCAGCACCGTGAAGCCCATGGCATCTAGCTTCTTGGCCGCCTCCTTGCCAAAACCAGAGTCACAGCCTGGCCAGGGCAGGGCAGGGCAGCCAGTGAACTCCCACTGTGGCCCAGTCCAGCCTGAGACAACCCCAGGATCACCAGGGTCCAAATGGGATCCAGGCTCCTGGACACCCAACCTACCAGCAATCAGCAGCTCTCACTCCTTTCCTAGGCCCATCTCTGGTAGGCTTTGCCCCTCTGGCTGAGCACCTGAGCATCAACTCTTTCACAGTTGTGAGCTCCCGGACTCCCCATAGCGACCCCATCAAACATGGCTTAACAGATGAGGAAACTGAGATCTAATATTGTTAAGTTGCTTCCCAAAGTCACCCAGCCAGCAAAGAAAGAGTAAGGTTGAGATTCTATCCTAGTCCCAGCCCCAATGTCTTTCTGCCTGCTTGATATCAGGCCTCAGCTCACATGCTCAGTATTACTGCACAGTCTCCCTTATTTTCTCACTGCCCTTGCCCAGGCTTCTTCCTCTTACCTGGTCACTGAAGCAGTCCCCTCTTTAGTCCTGTCCCATCTCGCCTCTAGAACCCATTCTCTACCTAAGCAGCCAGAGGGATCTTTCCAAAAATGACTATGGCTCTGCTGCTGAAAACCTTTCCAAGCCCCCCACAGCCTTGAGGATGAAGACCAAGCCCTCTACTCCCCTTTTCCAGGCCCTGCCCAACCTGAGCCCAGCCTCCCTTCCCAGTCTCAATACACCCTTACTGTTGTTCCAGGCTCTAGGCAAGCTGGAGGCCCATCCTGGCCTCACCCCTGACCCCCACCCTTGGAATTCCAATGAGTGGCAACAGTGGGACATTCTCTGAGACCCAGACCACTTGCTCCCAGGACAAGGACAATGATGGATGGAGAAGAGAACAGACCTGCATTTGAATCCCTTCCCACACTCACGAAATGTGACCTGAGGTCAGTTACCATTCTTGAAGGCTTAACTTCCTGCCTTTGGTATGTAGAGAAAGGGACCACTAGGCAGAGCCAGAGTGAGGGTCTGATAAGTCCCTGTTTTTCGCTTTCTTGGATCCATTTGATCCTGGTTTTGTGGGTGGAGCCTTCTCCCTCACTAGTCTTCCCCCTGCAAAGCCACTCTGCTACCGGATTCCTGGATGGCTCTCCACCCCCCTACCCACTCAGCCCCAGGTCAGACAACAAAGCTAGGAAGGGGGCTGTGAGCTTGGCTTTGTGTGGCTGGGGGCCTGCCAGCCAGCCCAGGCTGAGAGGTCCTTCCTGGGCAAGTCTGGCTGGGGGAGGGGCATGAACCCCTTGTTTAAGCTATCCTCCAGAGCAGACAGGGTAACTGAGGCCTCCAGGAGCCTTACCTCTGCTATCCCAGCATAGTTATCCACACCTTGCACACTCTCTTGTTCACCTGCACACACTCAATACCTGTACATACTTCCAACTTACCTGCAGTGAGCTGTGAATAACACGTGGGCTCACTCTCATGAGGCCCCTGCTACCCATCAGTGCACAGATATGCACACAAGGCACCCAGCCACTCAGCCCAAACCCTGCCAGGGCTGAGCTCCAGGAGTAACGTTGACCAGTAGTTCTCAGGGGCATTCTCAGGGAGGGGTGGGTGGCAGTTCTGGCAGGTGAGGCAGGGCCTGGTCACCTACTTTCTAGCAGTCAGGTGAAACTCCCTGAGTTTGGGGGCATTGGGAAACTTGGAGGCCTTGCACCTGATGATTAGACGGGGTGGGCTTGGCAGTCTTCTTCGCCTCCCCCCACCTCCATTGTGGGGCTTTGGAACCAGAGATGGAGAGCCCAAGTCACAGAAGGCATCCCTCCTCTCACCTCCCTCTTAGGCTCAAGGCTAGGAGAAGTAACAGCAGCAGCACCAAGGCCTGAAGTGAGATCTCAGGGAACATTCGTACCTGCAGATGGCCTGGGTCCTGTTGAGGCAGCTCACAAATTAGAAGGCAAGAGGGGAGCTGCCCCATCCCTGGGGGCAGATCACAATCTAGTCCCTGCTTCATACCAGGAGGGTCTGTCATCTCCCATAAATGCCTGAAACTGGGGTCCCCTGAGGCTTCACCACTGTACCTGAACTCAGGTCTCTCCCATCCAGTCTGAGCCCTGTTCTATCTCCACTCTGTTTGCTTGAAGCCCAAAGTCTTTGTGCCACCCTCATCCCGCCTCAGTAGTGTCTGGCTTCATGCCCGGCACTCAAGGCCCAGTCTGAGGTAACAACCTCACATCCCACCACATCTCAGCAGCCAGACTGGTTACTGACTGTCCCCTATCCAGGCCATGCTCATTTCTGCCTCAAGCCTTTGTTCTGCACCCTTTGTCTGATACAAAACACCTTTCATACTCCACCTATCTCCACTCATCCTCTGAGGTCCAGCTCAAGGATGGCCTCCTCTGGGAAGTTCTCCAGCTCCATCTGATCATGCAGGGCCCGCTTCTGGACTGAGGTCTCCAAGAAGCCAGTCTGGTGGTTGCCCCCAGCCCAAGCCCAATTCAAAGGCAGAGCCAAGAGCACTTGTCCAAAGCCATGGTGACTGGGGGATAGGCTAGGCTGCCCTTCCCCCATATAATGGAGCCACTGCCCCCAGCCTTTCTCCTCCTCCTCACTTCCGACTGGGCCTCAGCCCCCCTTCCCCTTCCCTTGATCTGCTGACAGATTTATTTCC